TTTTTTTTTTTTTTTTGCTTTTGTTTGTTTGTTTGTTTTTGGTATAACATAGCAAAGGAGCTCTGGTTGCACAGTGGTTAAGGCATATGGCTGCTAACCAGAAGATTGTTCATTCAAATCCACAAGCCACTCCAGGGAAGAAAGGTGAGGCAGTCTGCTTCTATAAAGATTTACAGCCTTGAAAACCCAATGGGAGAGTTCTACTCTGTAGTATAGGGTTGCTATGAGTCAACTCAATGGCAGTAGGGTTTCTTTTGGTTTATAACATACCAAGATTATGAGGATAGCTCAGGACTGAGCAATGTTTCATTGTTATACATAAGGTCACTATGAGTCAGAAATGACTCTAAGGCACCTAGCAATAACATATCCTTCACTCTTCCAACCAAACAGTACTTCAGTAACTTTTACATTTTCTTCTCTCCCCACCTCCTGCTGTTACCTTTAGTTATTTTAATATCCTTTTAAAATATGTGCACCAAACATCAATTTAGCATCTTAATTAAAAAACATTGTCATCCAGTGGATTATGACTCATAGCAACCCCCATTGGGTTTCTGAGGCGGTAAATCTTTACAAAAGTAGATTGCCCTGTCTTTCTTCCACAGGGTGACTGGTGAGTCAGAACCACCAGGCTTCCAGTTAGTAGTCAAAACCCTTAGGTACTGTGCCACCAGAGCTCCTAGTACAACTGCCCCATAGGATTTCCAAGGCTATAAATCTTTATGTAAGCAGACTGCTTCATCTTTCTCCTGCAGAGCGGAGCTGGTGGGTTCAAACCACTGTAACCATTCAGTTAGTAACCGAATATTTGAACCACTATGCCACCAGAACTCCTATTTATAAAAAAGTAATTATCTATTTTACTGATTTCTTCGCACACTACTATTTCTTGAAATGTATTTCTCATGCTAAGATTTCTTTTTAATTTCCAGGGGTATAAATGAATAATTTTATTTCAGACAGTGTTCAAGTGTGAAAATTTTCCAACTCTGCACATCCAACATTTGCTCCCATTCTCCCTCACAAATGGCTGCCATTTAGAATTATAAATGATGGCCTAGGGTGATCAGCTGATAGATAGTTGACCTGGGTTTCTTTAGTACTCTTGAATGTCTACTTATGAAACAGGTCTCTCCTCTGAAGAGGTGGGCTGATGCAAGGCTCTTGGAGTGCTTGGGTGGAGTACAGGAGGGCAAGTGAATCTTCAGATAGCTTTTCATTTAATATATTGTAAACTTCTTTTCCTGTCCATGTTTATCTACCTAGTTCTTAGTATAGCTGCCTAGAATTCCACAGGCTGCACATGCCAAAATACATTTAACCATTACTCCTTTAGCAGACATTTAGGATATGTTACTAAGCCATGCCTGCAGTAAACATCCTTATACTTACCTTTGTAAATTTTTATAGGGTTTGTTGCTAAAAGTGAAGTTTTTTGGGTCTAAGGGTATGCTCATTTAAAATTGCCCCCATGCATAGCAGCAGAGGCTAAGAACTCAGTATGAGTACAGAATAGAGGGCCACAACAGACATGCAGTTGGACCAGATTCATCAGTTCTGAAGGCCACTCTAAGGATTGACAGGTGCTCTGGTCTGGATGGCACCAAGAACATTTAGTGAATTTAGCTGAGGGCTCTTGCTAAATTCTGCTATTCAGGCAGCATCTGGCACAACGAGATACTAGTTGACATGGAAATTAAATATTGAATTTAGAAAGGAAGTATATCTTTGGAAGGGTAACAGGCAGACTTTTGGCATTAAAAAGTCATCAAGTTCTAGAAATAAATGAATGCTACTAAGCATCGCTACTGTGTGATCTGATCGTAGATGCTACAGCAAATAAAACACTATTTCTATTTAAAAAAATTAAAATTAAATTGCCCTCCAAAAAATATATCAATTTACGCTCCTACCAACAGGGAACAATCTCCATACTCTTTCCAACACCGGACATATGCTACCACCCAACATATCCAATTGGGTGGGTGAAAAATGTTCTCATTGTTTCAACATCATTATCATACACCCACCTAATAAGATTGAACATCTATTAATAACCTTGTGGACAAACTTTGTTTCTTCTTCTATGAATATCACTTTTCTTTTGAGCTGTTTCATAATTCCCAACTATTTGGCATGTTCTAGTAAAGTATAATATTTCAAGCTTATAAACAGTCCCCTTCCCTGTATTCAAATGTTTTTATGCAATTATCTTCTTGTCTTTTCTGTCCCTGTAATGTGCTTATCAGGAGGTATAAGTATGCTAAAAATGCCATCTTAAAATGGAAAACCCTTAGTTCTAAAAACTACTAATGTGCCTATTTTTCTCATGTAGATTTATCAAAGGAAGAGGTACATCTAGAAGTACAAGCACCTGTGGAGGATACTGACAAAAGACAAAGAGAGAAAAGGGAAGATCAAGAAAAGAAAATCATTTTAAATATAGAAGAACAAGAGCTACCATCAAAAAGAATTCAAGTAATTGATCCTGAAGAGGAAAGCAAGCAGGAAGATGATACAGCAAAAGAAAAGCCTAAAAGAAGTGTACAAATAAATGACATGGAGGATATTCCTAACAAGTATGCCATTCCAAACGTCAAAATACCCTTTCGACAAAGAAAGCATTATTCATTCACAGAAACGATTGAAAACTTGCATCACGGGCTTCCAACTTCAGGTGGACCAGCCAATACAAGCATCACAAGAAACAATCATAGTGTATGCAAACAGCACAATAACATTGAACTGAAGCTAGAACATTCAACTACTGGGTATGAGCCGTCTTTTGGAAAGTCTTCCAAAACAAAAGCAAAAAGCACAACTTTAAGAGATAAGAAAAGCAGTCTAATGGAAGAACTCTTTGGATCAGGCTATGTCCTAAAAGATGACCAAACAAGTCCTGTCGTTAATAAAGGATCTGAGGAGACTTTGAAATGTGAGAAGATACACCATCTATCTCCCAGTCAGGTCTCTGCCAGCAATGCTTTTGGAGATTCTAAAGTAACTGTGGTAAATTCTATTAAGTCATCTTCACCTACAGAAGGAAAAACAAAAATAATTTTTTAAATATAATCAGTATCCTAATACATTCTGTTTGGATATACTCGTTCTTATGTGCCTTTAATCTTATCATTTTAATGTTTCAGTTCTTTTCTTCAATGCTTACACTGTCTTTGGATAATTAAGGTTTGTTTTATTGCCAATCCAATTACAAAAATCCATTGTATATTAGCCAGTGATAACATTCTAAATGTTACATCTTTTTTCTACAAAGTGAAACTATCTTTTAGAAAAATGCTTTACTATATAGCTTTAATGTTCTAGTAAGTCTAAGTTAGTCAGCCCAAGACACATACATCTCATGCACATAAGAACTTTATCAGCAGTAAATTGCATTTAACCTAAAAAAATAAAAAAAATGAATGCATCTTTGAAAGGGAACATTGTTCTGGTTACCTAGTGCTGCTCTGACAGGAAATACACGACAAATGGGATGGCCTTAACAAACAGGAGTTTATTCTTACAATTTGGAGGCTTTAAGTCCAAGTCCAAAGTGCCAGGCTTTAGGGGCTGAGTGAGGGCCCCTCAACCTTGGGGTCCAGTTCTGCCTCCTCCTCCCGGCCCACTGGAGCTAGAGGCATTTCTTCACTCAGACAGCAACTGGCTGCTGAGGCTGAGAAGCCCCAAGGTTGACAAGTAAAAAGGCACAGTCCCGATGTACCAATCCACATGGCAGGCCATCGACTTAAGTCCATTGTAAGTCCCAAGGTCAGCAGAGCATAGCAGGCTGCTGAGCAATGACACGGCTACATGCAGGGTCCAAGCGTGCCATAGGCTAGAGACCATTCTTAAAGTTTCTCCTTATATACAGGAAGCAGACCATATCCCAAAGGCAGCTACTCAGCTGCTCCCAGTAGATTCCACCATGGAGTTGATTACCAGTCTCATCATGGGGAATACCACATCCAGCTGCCCAGCCACTCAGTCAGGCCTAGCCAAGTTGACATACAAACATAACCATCACAATCCCACCCCTTGTCAACTTGGCACCTGTACAGATCTTCAATGGGTGGTATCTGTACAGGTCTCCTCCACTGGGTGGCTCTAGTCCCCTAGTTCCTGAATAGTGACCTCACCTCCTCTCCCTCTTGGGCATGGCAGCCCCACCCCTCACTCTTGGGCAGCAGCTATGGCTCCATCCCACTGGCTCACATGAACGAGAAGCCCCACACTCCACAACCAAGTTGATGAAGTCCTGGCTCTTTGAAACCTAGGAGGCTATGGTTGTTCCACCCCCAAAGGCCATGGTCCTACCCTTAAGGCTGAGGCAGCTCTGCTTCCGTTTCCTTGGTATCTCCACTTCTGCCGAATAATGCAGAAGGCAAGATCTTCCTGCCCTAACAACACTCAGCTTTCTTGCTCCATGGACCGGCCAAATCTGCTACTCCATTTTATGCCAGTCTTCTCTACCAATTAATGCCCAAAGGCAACCCACTCCAACAGGAAGCCATCTACCCATTGGCACCCGGCTTTCTCCTCCATGGGCTGGTAAGGCTGTTCTGTTTCATGCCAGTTCTCTCGGCTCTGCTCCTGCTGTCTCTCATGCCGGTCTCTTGCCATCTGTCCTGCCATCTGTCATGCTGTATGCTGGGGTCTCTCTACCAGGGTCTCAGGTCAAGGACGCACTCTACTCCTGTTGACACATTTTAGGTATCTGTCAGAGCAGCACCCCACTCTCTTGGTACCAAATTCTGTTCTGGTTACCTAGTGCCACTCTGACAGGAAATATACCACAAATGGGATGGCCTTAACAAACAGGAGTTTATTCTTACAATTTGGAGGTTTTAAGTCCAAGTTCAAAGTGTCAGCCTCCAGGGGCTGGGTGAAGGTCCCTCAACCTTGGGGTGCAGCTCTGTCTCCTGCTCCCAGCCCACTGGAGCTAGAGGCATTTCTTCACTCAGACAGCAACTGGCTGCTGAGGCTGAGAAGCCCCAAGGTTGACAAGTAAAAAGGCACAGTCCCGCTGTTACCAATCCACATGGCAGGCCATTGACTTAAGTCCATTGTAAGTCCCAAGGTCGGCAGAGCATAGCAGGCTGCTGAGCAACAGCACAGCTACATGCAGAGTCCAAGTGTGCCAAATGCTAGAGACCATTCCCAAAGGCTTCTCCTTATATACAGGAAGCAGACCACATACCCAAAGGCAGCTAACCAGCTGCTTGTGGTAGATCCCACCATGGAGCTGATTACCAGTCTCATCATGGGGAATACTACATCCAGCTGCCCAGCCACTCAGTCAGGCCTAGCCAAGTTGACATACAAAAATAACCATCACAAACATTATGATCAGATGACTCTTATTTTAAAACACAAATGCACAGTAATTACCAAGCTTAGTTTTATGAAAATCATTTTTCAGTGTTCTCTTATTCAGCTAAACTGGGCATCTTAATATCCTGCCTTTATGGATGACCTTTCTTCATATACACTTAAGATCCGTGTTTTTTACTTAGATTTATCTCATATTTTTTTCTTGACCTTTTTTCTGTTAATCTTGTTTTTAAAAAATAAAAACATGAACATAATTAGTGTTCACTCAAGCTAGCTACTCAGTCCTAATTAATAAATGTATTGCATGTAGAATATTTAATATTTTTTGTTGTTGTTGTTATTTGACATGGAGTCAGACCTGACTCATAGCGACCCCTCCTGGGTTTCCGAGGCAGTATCACTACGAAAGTAGATTGCCCAACCTTCCTTCCAAGGAGTGGCTGGTGGGTTTGAACTGCCAGCCTTCTGGTTAGCAGTCACTTAGGCACTACACTACCAGAGCTCCTTATTTAATATCAGGGATATATAATGTTAATCAGTTAACTGACCTTCATTTATTTATATGAGCAAATTATTTACAATCAAGGCCATAACTATTTCCAAAGGTATTTATGGGCTGGTGTGTATTAACAGACCTTTTAAAATTGACATTAGTAAAATAAACTTTTAAAAGACAGTGAAAGTCATGTTGGGAGAAGAATTCTATCTAAAATCAAAGATGAGATAAATATTACAATTGAACATAAGCTTTGATCTTTTTGGAAACTATGGTAGAAAACAGAGAGAGAAAATAAAGAGAGGATTGGAAGAAGTAAAGAAGAAGGAAGAGAGGAGGGAGGGTGAAAGAAAGGGAGGAAGGGAGGGAGAGAGGAAAGGAATTTAGAGTTCTCAGAAGCCTATAGGGAAAAGTATGCAAATATACATGAAATGACAATCTTCTTTATGTGATAAACTAGAGAACTTGAGCATCAGAACAGTCTCCAAAGCATGTCAGACAAGACCCACAGTCAGCCCAAGAAAAGGACTCTAAAAGGAGGTCCCCTTCCCACATAATGCTGAGACCTCTGGGGTGTCCAGCCTCAGTGAACTAAGATAATTGAGACTGTAGCTGTAGTCAGCCCTCATCCTGTTGGAGAGCTTGAATTTGGATTACCTGAGTCTCTATAACCTAAAGCTAAAGTTTAAAGTCCAAGGTGGTAGTATCCCTAAGGCCGTTGTAGAAATGCAAATTCTCTCTGGAGGTACCTATCTTCGAACAAAAAAACAAAAACTCATTACCATCAAGTCGATCCAACTCATAGCAACCCCACCTTGGGTTTCTGAGGCAGTTGTTGTTGTTAAGTGCTCTCTCGAGTCAGCCCCAAGTCATAGCCCCTCCTTGGGTTTCCGAGGCAGTATCACTACTACGGAAGTAGGATTGCCCAAGCTTCCTTCTGAGGAGTGGCTGGTGGGTTTGAACCGCCAGCCTTCTGGTTAGCAGTCAAGTGCTTTAGCCACTATGCTACCAGAGCTCCAAGGCAGTATCACTATGGAAATAGATTGCCCAGTCTTCCTTCTGAGGAGCGGCTGGTGGGTTTTAACTGCCAGCCTTTGGGTTAGCAGTAAGATTCCTTAGGCACTATGCCACTAGGCCTGAAGAAATTCCCAGGCAGCTTAACAAAGGAAAAAAACAAAAAAAACTTCTAGTCCAAAAAAAATCAACAAAACACAAGATAACAAAGCACTAAAAGAACCAGTAGGAACAACAGATATCAGACTCAGACCTGCAAGTTCTCTAGTTTGTCACATAAGGAAGATTGTCATTTCATGTATATTTGCATTGGAATTATTTTGTACAGAATATTAAATAAATAGAAGATTTTGAAAATCTGAACAAAAAGAACAAGCAGTGTAATAAATGACAAACATATGTGACAAAGAACTCACAAGATAGTCATTTTAAATAAGAAATATGACAATTTAAATTAACTCAATAAACAAGTTTAACAGCAGGTGAGACCAGAATGAGAAAGTAAAGTAGAAGACAGACCTGAAATTTTTATCAATACTGAAATACAGGAAGACAAAGAGAAAATATGAGAAAGTAAGAGACATGAAAATTAGAGTGAAAGGTCTACTGTACATCAAATCATAGTTCCTAAAGAAAGGGGAAGAGAGAATGGAGCAGGGCTAATATCTAAAAAGATAAAGGCTGAGAATTTTTCAGACTGACAAAAGATACCAATCCATTGATTCTGAAAGCTCAAATGAATCCAAGCAAAATAAATAGAAATAAAAAAGAAATTCACTTCTAGCTAGATCATGATAAAACTGCAAAACACCAAAGAGAGAAAATCTTAAAAGCAGCCAAATAGAAAGACTTCTTACCTTCAAAGGAACAACTAGATTTTCAGCCAATTTCTAAACAGTAATTTAAAAAGCTAGAAAATAGAATGATATTTTTAATATTTATAATTAATATATAATAATTTAATAGCTGTGATCCAAGAATTACATAACCTGCTACGAAAGGAGCAAGGAAGCAGCATCTTCCAACCTCCTCTAATTCCACAAAAGGAAGACAGAATCACCATCAGCAGCCCAAAGCCTGTTCTTATGAGGCTGAACATGCCACCACCTCCAGCCCTCTTACTAACCTTTACACCAACCTTTCCTCCCATGGCACCCACCACCTCTCTGTTGAGTTCGATAATTCGCTGCAGTGCCCACACAGAACTCACAGATTATGGGGTTCA